CCTTCTCCTTCCCTCTCCCCCCCCCTCCCATTTTCCTTTCCTATTATCCCTCTCCTTCCTACCTTATCTTCCCTAAGTTTAAAGGGAATAAAAGAAAAAATATGATTTATTTTTATTGAATCTAATAGTTTTCTGAATTATTTTATTCAAAAAATCCTTATTTTTGATTTTACTAATTTAATCTGTTTTCTTTTTCATCCTTTCATTTTTTTCGTGCATGTTTTTCCATTTATTCATTTTTTTCATGTCTATATTTTTTATCTTTATACCGTTTATCTATCCAATTGTATTTTGTCTTTAAGTCAATCTAAATGTCTGTTACGCCAAAGTCTTTCCGGCCATTTGTCCATTAAATTTATTTGTCAGACATCTTGTCTATTTGAGTTTTCAGGTTTTTTTGTCTATCTGTAAATCTGAACACATATATTTATATTTTATGGTCTCTTGAATCCAACCCATACAAGATCTAAGCAGACAAACGTGGGCCTTAAATTTGCCTATCTACCAGGGGGGACAAATTCCTCAAGTTAAAAAAAAAAAAAATTTAATTTTGTTGTAAATGAAAAAATCTGAAATTAAAATTTTTTTTTAAAGTAAACATTATCCCCTGAATTCTCTCTTGTGGCATAAAAAGTGTGCATATGGAGGACATTTCAAAGACATTTTAGATCATTAAAAATCCCACAACAGGCCATAAAGCTAGTTTATTTGTATAGGGTGTGCCCAGATAGTGTCCAAGCTATTTTCTCTATACCCGCTTTTTCAAGCAAATTACCCATAACGTTTCTACAAGTTCAAGCAGTTAGATAATTTCCTTGGAGATGTGTTATTTTTACTTCAAAAATGATGTTACGGCGCTTTTTTCGACACTAAATTTCGGAAACCTTTTGGAATTGTACAATTGCTGTTTTTATCAAAAGATAACTCTCGTTGAATGTACTGTTGGCGTACTTTTATTGGCCCTTAGTTAAAAAAATATTAAAATGTTGCAAAATCGTTATTTTTTCTTTTGTCCAGAGTGTTTTTTGGCACAGACAAGCAAGAAATTGGCAGAATTATGTTCATTTCCATTTAAAAATTGCAGAAATAATCTCTTAAAGACTTTGTTTTTAAATGCTAAACATTCCCCTTTCAAGTTGATCCGTAGTTTGACGTTTTAGCGATATTTATATTGAATAAATGTACAGAAAATCTATAGTTTCATGAGGACTAATCTGCAGGATAAAAATATGTATATCATCATTTTTGTATTTATAAATATGCATCTGTTGTAAATAGTGATGTGCTTTCAGTGAAATGTTTGATAAGTTTTTTAATTTAAATACTTGCATTTCTATAAATATGTCTAATTTTGACCCTAGAAGAAGATATTTGCAAAAAAGACCCATACACGAACCAAAAACGATTCGAAAATCCAATTTTAGTTTTTAAGGATAAAGATATTTATTGATTTTTTTCTAAAAAGTATTAACAACACAAGTTGTTCATACTTCTTCATGTAAATCATCAACTTTTTTAACTATTATGTTATTTTTAAATCTGTTTAGCTTTCATATTCTAACCTCAATCGATCTTGTTTACTTTACTAAAACATATCCTTTTTGTACATACCTCACTATATATATGTACCAATGGAATTTTTTTTTTTCTTTCTAACAACTATTTCTTTTCTTCTTTTCCCTCTTACCCAAGATGTCTGGAAATATTGATTTTTCCCTTCCTGTTACTCTAAGTATGTCTAGATGGTCAAATCCCCAGTACTTCCCCCACCCTTGAACATAGAGATTCCCCTAATCTTAGAAAAAGTTCCCCTACCTTCTTCCCCTTTCCAATTCCCCCTTCTCCAAGCCATTATTCCCCCTCTCTCAGTTTTTCACCTCACATTTTAGTCGCCAAAAACACTTTTTATCCAACTCCTTACTTCTCTCGTTAAAAAAGAAAATAAAGCAAAACATTTTTAAACTCAAATAGATATTCATTTTTAATTTATTTTTACTTTAAGTTTTAATATATATCCCTTAACTTGTTTAAAGAAAAATTCTCATTATTCATTCTGTGTTTTGGATTAGTTCCACAAATTGGACATTCGACAATCAACTTGTAAACTCGAAACTTTAAGCTTTAAAATAGTAAAAACTAAAATAAAAAACTAAAAAAACTCATGCAGACGATATACAAACTTGAAAAGGGGCCGAATTCAATGAATGACGAAACATAATGATGATAGAAGAACCGCGAAAATTATGTTATGTTTAAGTGGTTCAATTTAGTCTACCCAGTTCAACTACTTCATGGGAACTTCATTAAATCTGATCCCCGGAATCTGAATCATACAGTAAATTTGCTAAAATAGAATGTTTCGTTTGAAGTTGATATTCTCCCCTTTCCCACAGATTGTTGCAAAAATAACGTGAGGGAGTTGCAAATATTGTGGGGTGGCCCCCGGCAGTAACCCCCCCCCCTCCCTCCCCTCCCCGTCGCAATTTCTCCCGCATTTTCCTTGCAAAATTCCCCCCTTTGATGCCAGGTCAAAGCGAAAAAAGTTCCCCCGAGCTGTAAGAAAATTAATATTTTTGCAAATTTTCAGCAGGGGGGGGGGGAGGGAGGGGGTAGTTTCGCAAACTCAAAGATCTTACGATAACAAGGGTGCAAAATAGAAAGTGGGGGGGACTAAATTCTAATATTTAAGAAAAAACAGGGAATACTCACAGAATGGGATGGGAGGGTTAATGGAGAAAAGTAAAGTGTAAGTTCAGATTACTATTAACTTTAATACAATACACAATGAAGAATATGATTTTATATTAAAGATAAGTTGATTTGATAATCGATCGCAAGCATGGGTTCGTTTCATGCGCTTGCAAAAAATGCAAAAATGCAAATGGTGGACAGAAAAATATACAAACTGGTTGAGGGAGGGGGAGACGGGTAACAAAATGACTTTAATTATTGTATAGAAATCAGAAGAAAAAAGATTTAATATCTAGATTTATTTGATTCTCATTCAAAGCACCCTTCTCTTGTTAACCCAATTCTTTAAATAAATACTTAAATAGTCTTTTAAATATTTTAAGCTATTTGACTTTTTTACCAAAAAATCTAAATATTGTTTGAGAAAATCACGAAACCTCTCGACCTGTAGGCAGCGAGAAATAGGGGGCGCTAATAATAGGTAGGGGGTTTGGGGGGTTCAGTGGACAGCTGGACACCGCATTCTGATATTTTGGCGGCTATATCATGAGGGGGGGGGAGGAGTTGTAAAATAGGGGCATTGAAACTTTTATAACATGTAGGAATTTTATATTTATCTTGAACTAACCTAAGCGTATCCGATCAAATGAATTTTCATTTTTTTGAAACTTCTAACCCCAATATAATCATTAAAACGCAAGTCGTTTTTACATCTAAAAAATCTTGAAAAAAAAACACGTTATACGCCTATAAACCATGCATTGTTTGTAGGGAGTGTAATTTAAAAACAATTTGGAATTGTTTTGGGAGAGAAATGTTCGCAAAAAAAGTAAGTTTTTGCTTGTATTTATTGCCAGCTTCTGCTTGCGGGTGTACATGAAAATACGCAAAATTGAGCAATCATAAAAGTTTATTACTAGGAGAGCCATTTTAGCTGAAAAGATTAATCTTGGTATAAAAAAGGATTAAATTCATAAATCATGTTTAAAACGTAAGTTGATGCAGTAGTAATGCAATTTGCAAAATTTTCGGTGTATATTTAGTGTGATTTCAACTTTACAAGAGAAATTTTATTGAAGGGGCTCTTCATTTATACATTAGTATGTTTGATTCACAATGGTACCCAATATCTCTTGGTGTGAGCAAGTGATTGGTGAATTTGTGCAGCAGAGACAATCAAGAAAATTTTAAGTAATAAATTATTTCAGAAAAATGTCAACATTTTTCAAATATTTAATTGGAATAAAAGTTTACTGTTGTGAATCAGGCAAGTAACACTAAACTAAAGACCTAACTTAAAATTAATTCCCTTTTATCTATTTTTTCTGAACTTTTTTGAAAGATGTATTTAAAAAGATACCTGGATTTTGGACCCATTCTTGGAGAGCTTTTTGCAATCGGCGAACATGCAACGGTTTGCTTGCCATTCCAACCAGAGCCATAATTTCTAGATTATTTAAAATTTAGTAATTCATTACTTTTTAATTTATATTTAATAATTTTTAATCACCAATTGTGATTGATCTTTTACCGTTGATTGATTATTATTTGATTGTTTTTATTATAATTAACTGCACATTTTTAACATAGATTTTTTAATTTTAATTTTAAACTATGATTGACTTAAAGACAGTAAAATATTTTTTTTAATGTTAAAGAGAGTGACCGGCTATGTAAGGAGTATGAAGTGTTGTGGAAAACTTCTTTCGGATTCATTTGAGACATATTAAACTTTTTAAAGATCGGTAAATCCTGAGTTTGAGCGCAAATTCGACGTTTGAACCTCCTACTTAGAATTAGTTTTTTAAAATATTAAATAACGACGACATAAAATGTAAAAAAAGTTTTAGGATAAACTACAGAGGTCATGTAAAGGAACATGTTGAGAAAATAAAAATTAATCTTATCATAGAAAATAAGTATTCTTGTTCAATTATTAGTTTCTATTTTTTCATTATTCTGGTTTCTCATTATTCACAAAGATTTTCGCAGATTTTCTAGAAATATTATTGAAAAGACGACATTTGAATTATTTGAAGAAATCTGCGAATAAATTCTAAGAAGATAAGAAATTCAATATAATAATGAAAACGAAATAATCGATTTTAGCATTGATTTATTGACAAATTTCTTTTGAGAAATATTTTCCTAAACCACCTAATTAGATTACTATATAATTTTTACTTTATTTTTTTATTTTTTACGATTTTGAATATTTCTTTGCAAGCAATCAAAAATTTATTAAACATTGTTTTTTGTTCGGTATCAGAGCTTAAAATATTATGCTTTTGTAGTGAAATTACCTAAGAATTCCTCCTCCCCTGCTTCACAAAGCTGTTGAACATCGTCACCGCCTGCAAACAAAATAATATTAATAAGAAAATTTGTCTTTAAATTAACATTTGATTATATTTTACGAAGCAATAAAAAATTGATTAAAACTATATAAAATTATAAATTTTCATAATCTTCTTTCAAATTTTCGAACTGAATAAGGCTTTGTTCGACCGGTAGCCCCAAAAACTTTATCGAAAAATCATATTTCAAGTAATATTAGAGGTTAAATAGGATAAATTCTAAGTGAAGAATGAGCGAAACTAAAATCGAATGTATAACAAGGAAGAGAGAGCAATTACGTCCGAGCCACCTAAAACCCTTATTTCATGCCTTGAAACAACATTTTTTGGAAGACAGTTACAACCTTTAATCACAAGTGGATGATTTGGTATGTGGATCGCCCTCCTCCCCTCCTAAAACTGTGTTGTTTTAAACTGCTTGCCCTCCTCCCCTCGCAAAACTGTTTGTTTTCTAATCCTACTTGTCAGTTATTTGAATAGTGAATAAAGAGGTTTACATAAAAACTTAGAAAAATCTAAACCAAACAATGACAATAAATATTGAAAATATACACATTTGCTTATCCGTGGATGAAAAAGAAATATCATGATTTTAGAAAATATCGTTCATAATATTTATGAGAAAACTTGGTCGATATAAAAAGTTTGTCGAATATTAAAAAGCTTTTTATCAATCTTACAGGAAGAGGGAGGAGGGGTGGAGGGGGGGAGGGGATAAAAAGGACAAATAATAAAGTTGTGTGGTCTGTGGAGGGGGGGGGGGGCAAAAACATACTAATCCTGTTAGCTTGATACAGTAAACCTCATCCTTCATCTGTTTAATACAGTTCATCATTCAGTTTTCTTACAGAGAATCATTTAGCAGGATATTTAGTTACATTCATTCACGGTATTATATTAATATTCAATATTCATCCTCAATATTACATCCCCGGTATATCATATTCAATATTCATCCACTATATTAAATCCACGGTATTATATTCATATTCAATATTCATGTATATCATATTCAATATTCATCCACTATATTAAATCCACGGTATTATATTCATATTCAATATTCATCCACATTATCAAATCCACGGTATTATATTATTATTCAATATTCATCCACAATATTACATTCACGGTATTACATCCACAATATGACATTCACAATATTACATCCACAATGCTGATACATCTACAATATAATATTCATATTCAATATTCATTCACAATATTACATCCACAAATACAAATATTCAATTCATCCACAAGATCATATTCAATATTCATCCATAATATCATAATTCATTTACAAAACCATAATGAATAGTTATCCAAAAGGTTCTAAATTCATTATTTTTCCTTCATTATTTAATTGAAAATCACATGGACACAACTGGTTTTTTTCTTCTCAATAGTTTCTTAAAAAGAAGATTTTAATCTATGTGAAATTTACTTTAAATTAAGTCTGTAAAGATATGGTCTTTATAATATTTTTGATTTGAAGTATAAATATCTACTATACACACGATATACAGTATACAAAGATACATGATTGTTTTACGACCTATTCATTCAATTATTATTCTTTCATAGAAGATAAAACAATATCAATTCTGCTTGGTCCGTTTCTAAAATATTCTATTGTTTAATATTATTACAGGGGTAATTATATAATATATACGAGTATATACATATCTTTTTATCATAAGAGGTTTTGTAAAGAGGGGTTGGTTAAAATGGATGAAAATATGGACTTTTAAGAGTTTTTGTATAAAAATGGGTGTACCGCAAATAGTATATTCAGAAGATTCTGAGGGGAAGGGGGCCGGCGGGACGTGTACGTAATCTTTTAATTATGTTTTTAAGCATGTGCTTTTAAAGCAGTTGTTTTATTAAGATGATAGAAAAAGTTGAAACTAGTCTACAGTCTACACACTACACAGTACACGTCTAATAATGTCGATATGAAGAAATTCATAGAAAATAAGAAATTCAATATAATGATGAAAAAGGAAATAATTAATTCTAATTTTGATTTATTGACAAATTTCTTTTGAGAAGGCATGTTATTGTTTGAGGCACAAAATAATAAATACAAAATCTACAAAACTTCAATCCCCCCCGGCTCCCCTCCCGTCCCGTCCCACCCTGAGTATCAGTTTTTTATTTCCGGCTTATCTTTAACTCTCTAATTCTTTTTATACAAAAACCTTTCCCAGATATTAACAACAAAAACTTGATTTTTAAAAATTAAGCATTTAAATTAAACTTTTTTTAGATTTAAATCATTTGTATACGTGAGTTGTTAAACATATATAGAGTAGATATATATTTTGTCTAATTTGATGTTTTTATTGAGAATAATTAAATTGTTTTAAAGCTATTTTTATTTTTGTTTGAATATGTATAAAATTATTAATATTTCCTCTGGAGCACACAAAACGGTAGCTCTGCACCGGAAATATTACAATGTAGAGTCAAGGGAAACAATTAATTTTAAAAGCCTCCCCCCCTTGATTCACATTATTCTCAGTTTTTACCCTTTTCTCCCCCCCC